TGACATACACCTTCCCCCGGTGTCTCCTGCCCGCACCAGCTACAGCCCCACTCCACCCCCCCACACACAGGCTGCCGGCAGCTGGCTGGGTTTCCTAGGAAACGCCTCCACCATCCTGGCATTGGAGTCTCAGGGGCTTCCAGCATGGGCTGGACAAGCCCCCAGAGCCTGCCTGGGACTCAGGCTGCAGGTGGGCACAGCTGGATGCGGAGGTGCCCGGTGCGCCGAGGGGGCCAGCATCGGGGGACGGGACAGGTCAGCGGTGCCCCTTCCTGAGGTGCCTGCTGTCCTGGAGTCAGAGCTGAGAAAGGAGAGGACGGGGGCGGGGCTGGAGTGCTGTTTGCCCGCCTGGCACAGGGTGGGGACAGGGACTTCGGGGACAAGACCTGAGCCCCTGCGAGGGCCACATGAGGGACCACTTCCAAGACCGTGTGTTGGCAGCCAGTCCCCTCTGCCCCAAGCACCCTTGGGTGTGGATCCAGGTGTCACCATGCCGACGGATACCGGGCAGGGCCTGGAGGGTGAGAGAGGCCAGGCTGTGCCCTGAAGGTGCAGAGGGAAGCCTTGGTTCTCGCCGTTCAGACCCCGGCTGCAGGGGTGAAGGCGCGTGCTCCACCTGGGAGCACCTGCAGGGCTGCCGCGCCTGCCACTGCACACTCAGGGCCTCCGGGTGGGCTGTGGGCCTGGGTCCGAGCCCTCTGCCTTCATCATTCTCCATCTAAGTGCCAGAGGCCAGCCCGGAGCAGCGCCTGCCGCAAAGTAATCCTCCGAGACGCTGCCCCCGACGCCCGACACGGTGTTGGACCAAGCCGTCGGGGCAGCGGCTCAGGGCTGCAGAGGGGCTTCTGTGTGGAATCCGTGTGCTCCCTGTCCCTCTGTGAGACGGGCTGGCCTGGAGGCCCCGTGTCCCACTTGGAGGAGGGGCTCCGGGAGCACCGGGTGCCTGCTGTGAGCTCAGGGACCCAGGGGCACGGAGGGCATCTGTGGGCCTGGAGGAAGGAGGTCAGAACAAGTGGGGCAGAAAATGGGATGAGTGCACCAGGCAGGGGAGGGGGGCCAGAGGCTGGGCACAGCGCCTGTAGGGGGAGGGGGAGGGGGGGGAGAGAGAGGGGCCAGGCCCAGCCCACACGGGCCCTGCACACTTGTCAGGCACAGCCCTGTGCACGCTGCACCAAGCGCTCCAGCTTGCACGGGAGTGGGCAGGAGCCCACCATCACCCGCCGTGACTTTGAGGAGTCACGAGCTGCCCTGCCAGCTGCACACCCTGGACACGGGTGCTGGCCGCTGGCTGCTCTGTCTGCAGCCTCGCCCTGCTCTCCGGGTCACAGGGAGCCTGGTGCTGCGGCGAGGATGGGCATTCACCCCGCTCACCCGCTTCCTGCCGCTGAGAAGTGCAGAGGATGTGAGAGCCGCCCGGCTGCGGGTGCCGGGGAGGGTGCCACAGCACCTTCGGTTTGGGAACCCCACTTTCTACCATTGGTTCGCTCTTCCGACTCCCCAGCTTCCGGCCTGTTGCCTAGAACGGGGGTTCCTTCCCAGGGCGTCTGGGAACCCGCCCGGAAACACGGGCCCCTTTCAGAGAGAAGCTGACGGCTCAGGGCCCGCGGCATGTCCTCCCGCTGGCGGCGCAGGTGGCACAGCTCCTGTCGCACCGGGGACGCCCCAGACTTCCCCTCGCCCCGCCTCCGACCACCGACCGCCCCGTCACACACCTGCTTCCTGACACTTGGATAATTTTCCCGAAATAACCGGGGTCCTACGCAGGCCCCCGTGGCTTTGCTCACTGAGAGCATCAGGGAGCGGCGTCCGGGGTGTCCGGGCCGTGACGCTCAGCCTGCGACGCCGAGATGGCCGACCTGTCATTGTGCCTTTGTCGAAAAACCCACAGAACCGACGACGACGACAAGAAGGGGGCACCCGAGGCAGCCATGGGCGCTGATGAGCGAGGACGCAGCAGCCGGCCTCACGGACAGCAGCACACGCCGCACGCAGAGCGGGGGCACGGCCCACCAGGGCGGGGAACTCGGCGGCCTCCCAGCTCCCCTGCTCTAAAACAGAAAGCCTATTGATTTTTTAACGTGTATTAATCATTTTTAAAATAGCCCCAGACTGCCCTAACCGGTTTGGCTCAGTGGATAGAGCGTCGGCCTGCGGACTGAAGGGTCCCGGGTTCGATTCCGGTCAAGGGCATGTACCTTGGTTGCGGGCACATCCCCGGTGGGGGTGTGCAAGAGGCAGCTGATGGATGTTTCTCTCTCATGGATGTTTCTAACTCTCTAACCCCCTCCCTTCCTCTCTGTAAAAAATCAATAAAATATATATATATATATTAAAAATAAATAAATAAATAAATAGCCGAAGCCTGTTTGGCTCAGTGATAGAGCGTCGGTCTGTGGACTGAAAGGTCCCAGGTTCGATTCCGGTCAAGAGCATGTTCATTAGTTGCGGGCACATCCCTGGTAGGGGGTGTGCAAGAGGCAGCTGGTCGATGTTTCTCTCTCATCGACGTTTCTAGCTCTCTCTCTCTCTCCCTTCCCCCTCTCTGTGAAATATCAATAATATATATATTATATAGAATATCCCCAGACTGCCAAAGGGGCCCTGAAGGACAGCAGGACTTGGGGACAGCGGTCCTGGCCCCTCACTGATTAGGCCACGGGAGCGGATGTGCTGGGCCTCTCCAGGCCACCCAGCCAAGGGCCCTCTCAGCGGGGTGGGAGGGGGGCGGGGTGGCAGGGAAGCGAGAGAGGCAGCAGGACCAGCGGCCTGGAGCCAGCGGCCTGCTCTCCCGCCTGGCTGCCCTGTCAGTCAGAGGCCCGAGGGCCTCCCCCTCCGATTTCTGATCTGAGGTGAGAAGGCGGATCTCGGCAGCGGGCAGGGCTAAAAATACATCGGCCAGGGCTGCCAGGACACCTCCTCCGCAGGCTGGGCGGGGAGGGAGGCCGGCCTTGGTGACAGCGTCACCGTCACCGAGCCAGGGGCCCAGCCCGGCCACACAGGCTGGCACGCCTCCCTCCCCCACGCCTGTTCCAGGGAGGAGGCTTCCCAGGTGCCTCCCCCCTTCCCACACCGCTGTGCTGGGCCCTCTCTGGAGGGGCGGCGGGCAGGGGAAGGGGCAGAGTGCCCATGTCACCACTGCACCAGATGTCACCCAGGAAGGGGGGGCACCAGCCCAGGTATGGGGTCTCGCTCCCGTCCCAGGTCCCGGGATGAATGACGACCACACAGCCAAGCAGGGTGTGAGCGCCATGAAATCAAACGGACGTGAAAACATGATTAATTTGCTGCCTAAGGAAACAGTCACAACGCCTTAAACACACACAAAGCCGCCTTCCCTTCTAATTAGAACTGCTGTCTGTCCCAGCGCACCCAGGGGCCGGCCGCCCGGCTGGGTGGGGGTGGGGCCGGAGAACTGGCCAGCTCCCTCGGGAGCAGCCAGGACTCGGCTCTGTCCAGCCCCTCCCACGGGCTGAGAGGGCTTCAGCAAGGGCAGCCCTGAGGGATGCGCCCCATCCTGGGCACCTGAGCTGGGGTGGCTGAGGGCACGGGGAGGACCCAGGCCCAGAGCGGGAGGGCACCCACACTAAGGACTGGACAGCCAAGAGACCAGGAGCCTACAGGCCTGAGGGTCATTTCGGAGCCGGGCTTCAGCTGCTGGACCTCAGCTGGGCCTCAGGAGGGGGTGGCTCAGGGCAGGGCCTCGCCCAGCTCTGAAGCTGGGGGTGATGATGCAGAATCCCAGCCTCCTGGCCTTGCAAGGTCTCTGTCCTTGCACCTGAGCTCGGGGGCCCCAGGCTGAGGGATCAGGAATAAAAGCGTCCAGGCCAGGGCTGCACGCAACCGACCATCTCCGGGAACCTGAGCCGAGGTCGCTCCATTGAAGTCAGGTTTCTCCAGGAGGCAATGCCCAGCGTACGAAGGACACCCTGTGTCTCTGCCTCGTCCTCCTCCCGGCCCAGGCCACACCCGTGGGGCAGCCACCTCTCCCCTCAAGGCGGGGCCTGGCACTCGGAGGCCAGGCCACCTGCCCCCATCGGGGCCCTGGCTCTGCTGAGACCACAGGCAGGGGCCGGAAGGCGGCTCCCCGGGGAGGGGACCCAGAGGAAACAGGAGGTGAGGGTCCCCCTGGGAGAAGCCACAGCAGAACTCACCCGTTGGCAGAGACGCTGCCCCGCTGGGGGCGTGGGTGCCACCCAGAGGGCCCCGGGGAGCTGAGCCCACCGCCTCCATGAGCAGCCGCGCTGGGAGCAGGTGACCCTCAACACGGGCGGGGGCCCTTCCACCGGCGGCCGAGCTTGGGGGACCCAGGTGTCAGAGGACACAGAGCTCCCTCTGTTCTCGAAAACGCTGAACAAAGAAACAGCAACACTCATTTTTTTCTTCTTTCTTTCTGGTCTTTAAAGTGACAAAGGGAAAGGAACACCCTCTTGCAAACAGCAGAGCCACGTTTTGTCCTTTCGGTGGTCAAGTCTGTTATCAAAGTGATGGCCCTCATCGCCTCACATACGGTACCTCCTGGCACCCCGGGAGAGGGGCCCTGGAGCCTGTGATGGGTGCCGGGGGGCACCCAAGCTCTGGGTGAGCAGGAAGGAGAGTGGGTGTCCGCCCCGCTAGTGCACAGAGACCCTGCGAGGGCCGGAAGGTCCCACATGTGCAATCGGTGTCCTGGAGCCTGCAGGGCGGCCCTGAGCCAACAGCCCTGCCAGGAGGGGGGAGGCCACGGGGGTGAGGAGGCCTGGACTCCCGCTGCTCCAGGCCAGAAAGCCCACGCCGGAGTGAGGAGAATAAATACATTCAGCCGGAGGGACCTGGCGCTCCTGCGGTTCTGTCCCAACAGCCAGACACACCTGCTCCTCCCAGGAAGCCCGGCGTCAGGCTGCCCGCCGCGGGCCTGGTGTGGTCCTGCACGCAGCCGGCCGGAAGGCACGTGGGGCCCCTCGGATGGAATGGGGGGCATGGAGGGCACCCCCGAAGTCGAAAGCTCCAGAACGGCCAGGCCCTCATCGTCGGTGACCTTGTGAGAAGCAGAAAGGGGCAGAGGTTACCAGGGGCCAACTATCGGGTACAGGTCCCTTGGGGTCCAAGCACCAGGCCTGAGCGTCTACTGGGCATCTTCTCGGCCTCTCCCCCGCCCCCCGGCTCCCACGGGCCTCACCGCCTCAGAGTCCTGCCTCCTTGTGTGCCCTGCTGCTCCTGTCCTGGGCGGGGACTCTAGCCGCTCCCACTACCGGCCCCCAAACTGTCCGAGGGAAGATGCAGGCTGCTGAGGCCTTGAGGACTCGCCTTAAAGCTTACAGCCCCCGCCACACACACACACACACACACACACACACACACACACACACCACACACACACACACAAACCACACACACACAAACACAAACCACACACACCACACACACACACACACACACACACACACACACACAGTGCTGGAGAACGCTCCTGTTCTAGGTCCTTCCGGCTGCTCGTGGCCGGGGTTTGGGGAGCTAATGGCTGTGCACTTGGCCCTGATTCACGGCTCAGAAGGACCCCAGTGTGTGACTGTCAGGGGATTGTGACTGGCATGTCCTATAGTGTCTCTCCCCCAAGCCCAGGCCCCACCCTCCTGGCCTGGGGAAGCTCCCGCAAATAGAAAAGCTTTCACCCTGCTTTTCACTGTGTCCCCACCTCCCATCTGGCCGCTGGCCTCCGGAAGGCCATCCCAGAGCGGGCAGACCTGCCACAGGAACAGGCAGGCACTTCGCCAGCTGTCTCAGGAACTACCCCTCCACTCCCCACCCTCACGTCCCCGTCCCGCCCGAAAGCAGCCTGGCCTGCAGAGAGGGAGAAGCATTCCCCACCCCCACCAGCCAGCCGGGAGGAGGCATGGCAGGTCTGCAGTGCCATATGTGGCCCAGGAGGTGCCGGGAGGGACAGAGGGGCTGGGGCCCAGGAAACAGGAAAGAGGGGAGGGAGGCCAGGCCGGAGCAGCCCGGAGTCCACAGGGTCAGGCTCCAGGAACAGGAGGGGCCCCAGATCCCGCTGCCCCGCCCCCCAGGGGAGGAGTCTCCCGCCCACCCCTGCCGCTTCCCCAGCACCAGAGGCAGAAGTGATCTGTGCAGGGCCCTGGCCTGGCCGGGCCCCAAGATGATGACGGCACCGACTGTCCTGAGGCCTCATGCAGGGCAGACGCCCGTCCAGCCCGGGGGAGGACCTGGGTGTGAGTGAGAGAGGGTGACAGTGTGTGTGTGTGTGTGTGCGCGCGTGCGCCTGTAGGGGGCAGGACGGCCACTCTGTCTGGCCTGTCCCAGGGCCCGGGCCAAGGCCTCAGGCAGGTGAGGAGCCAGGAGACAATCATGAAAGTCCGGCCAGTGTGGCTCAGCAGTTGAGCGACCTAGAAACCAGGAGGTCACAGGTGGATTCCCGGTCAGGGCACATGCCAGGGTTTCGGACTCCATCCCCAGTGTGGGGAGTGCAGGAGGTAGCCCATGCATGCATTGATGTTTCTGTCTCTCTCTCCCTCTCCCTTCCTCTCAGAAATCAATAAAAAGAAAAAGGATCATGAGAGATAACAAAGCAGCCTTAAGCCACTCTGCTTTGGAAAAGTTTGTTAGCATGGTGATCATAGACTGACACAAATACCCCACGTGTCTGCAGACATGAGAGAGTTCAATTTCTCTTAGAGGGCTGGGGACAAACAAGGGATAAAAACATAAAAACTGTCCTAGTCAGTGTGGCTCAGTGGATAGAGTGTGGGTCTGTGGACCAAAGGGTCCTGGTTCGATTCTGGTCAAGGGTGTGTACCTTGGTTGCTGGCTCCTCCCAAGCCCAGACTCTGGTCAGGACCTGTGTGGGAGGCAACCAATCGATGTGTTTCTCTCACATCAGTGTTTCTCTCTGTCTTTCCCTCTCTCTTCCACTCTCTCTAAAAATCAATGGGAAAATATCCTCTGGTGAGAATTAAAACATATACATATATAGTAAAAGAGAAAGACGCAAATAGACCATACCTTTGCAATGCCACTAGCCAATCTGGAGTATGCAAATTAACCCACTTGCATACACAGGTGCTGAGAGGCTGGGTGCAGGATGCTTGCACCATCACCATGGCGACGATGCAGGTGTTCCACACCAACCCAGCCGCTCCAGGCCTCTGGGCAGCATGGGAAGGTGGGAAGGGGGCTCTGGGCCAGAGCAAAGGCAGTGCCGGCAGCCAGGGGAAGGAAGGCCCATTCTTGCACAAATCTTCGTGCATCGGGCCTCTAGTGTGTGTGTGTGTGTGTGTGTGTGTGTGTGTGTGTAATGATCTAAAGCAGCCACAGACTGAGGCCAGTCAGCTCTGCAGAGAACAGAGCTGAACAGAAGTAAAATATATTCATAATTACCCACATGGATAAGCTGCAATTTTTACCTTAACACTGAATCTTGATGAGGCCAAAGCATATGCTTGTGGGCACGTGTGGAAAAGGAATACGAGTTTTAAGATTGCAAAAGTTTCAACTTCCACAGAAGAGCCTGTGAACAATGCCTACATTGAAAAGCCATGAAACAAGGGACAGCAGCATAAGTGGATCCTTCGGGAAGAAGGAGATACTTTCTCTCATTAGTTAGTTTAAAATTTGAGCACACATGATACTGATGCAAACAGGGATTAAGTGGGAAGGGATTCGTGAGGGAACATCTTGCCCCGCTGTGTGCCGGGCGGCGGGAATCCAGGCCTTTTCCCTTCACAGCTCATAAACTCCAAGAGGGATGTGCAGAGGAACCCAAACAGCCTCCCACGGCTCAGCGGCGGCCCCAGGCTCTCCGGCGCTGGCCCAGCGCGGATGGGCCGAACCCCAGGCCAGTCCGGTGTGCACCCCGCCCGCCCACCCATGCCTGGTCCGAGGCTCCAGGCACCACCCAACGCCGAGGCAGGAGTGTAAGCCTAGAACAGACCTTCATGGATGACCACCCTGGCCCCAAGTGGGGGCCCCTGGGAAGCCTGGGGGAGGTGGGACAAGGCACTGGGATGGGGTGGACATAGGCGATGGCCCCTCTTTGTACTGTCACTGCCCAGCTGGGCCCTGAGTCCACCATCTGGCTCCTGGGGCCCAGGATGACCTTGGGCAGGAGGCGGAGGGGCCGAGGACATTTCCTGCCAAGGTCAGCTGCTCTCAGCTCAGCCGACACGAACCCTCTATCAGTCCTGAAGGGCGGGTGTCTGATCTAGGTGTCACCACAGGGAAGGCCTGTCCCCAAAAGGCCTGCAGAGGGGACCCCCTGAGGCCTGAGGAGGGGACCCCATGAGGCCCGAGGCCTGGTGGGTGGGGGGCCCCACCACAGCACTCACCCTGACCGCAGGCTGGCAGCCTGGAGTGAGGTGCCCTGAGGCGTGTGGCCTCTGATAGGAGGGCTTCTTGCTGGCTGAGGCCCAACCACCCACTCTGCCCGCCCCCTCCTGAGCAGGGAGGGGGCTTGGTCCGGAGGCTGGAGCAAACACCACCCCAACAGGCACCTGAGGGCAGGGTTTCTGCCTGGCCCTGCGTGGCAGCCCCCCTTGGCCAGGGGTCCCGAAGAAACTGCACTGGGTCTGGGAAGAGAGACCCACCTGGGGGCACCTCAGGGCAGCGGATGAGGGTGACACCACTCCCCATGGGTGCAGGGAGCTGGATGGAGCCCCACCCATCCTCACCGCCACTGCCCCCACCCTCGGTGGACGAGGCCACGGCCATCACATCTGAGAACAGCAGGTTCCAAGCGACTAACAGAACATCTGCGTGGGTCCTAACCTGTCATGCAAATTCATTCCTGCAAAACCATTCCCCCACTCCCCCCCACCTCCCCACGGGCCTTTTCACCTCTCCAATGGGAAAGCAGCTGTGACGGCACAGCCTGGTCCCCCTGACAGGTGGCAAACATCCAGGCAGGAGCCCAGGTGGGGTTGACACCCACACAGGGCAGGGGTCTGGGCAGCCCCACATGCGTGCCTCCTTGTGCCGGATGGGGGGGACCTCCCGGATGGCCAGGAGCTGCATGTGTGATCTGGTGAGGAGGGGCCACGGGGCATTGGCACAGATCGCAATGGGGTCACCGTCAAGGCTGCTGGCCCAGGTGAGTCCCCCACAGGAAGCTGCCACTGGCACTGCCACCCACTTTTCATTGTTTGAGGATCAAAGGTGACCAAGCCTGGCTGCAAGGAAACACACAGCCTGGGAGACGGTTACACTGCCAAGTCCCCCCATCCGCAGGGCGGCCTTTGAAGGTGTCCTTAAGCATCCATCAGCCAAGATCGAGATCCGCACGAGAAACACACACACTGGCCAGATCAGCCCCTGGGAGGGGACCGCCTATCCTCGGTCAGCCCCACCCGCCCTGCCTCCTACAGCGGGCCCCTGAGAACACAGTCTTCCTAGAAACCCAGGGACAGACCAGGAATTAGCCTGCGCGCTTCTCTTAACGGATGAGCCAGGAAACGGCCCTCAGAACAGGACAGAAACTCTGCCCACTCGCTTCCCTCCTCCCGCCCTGGCCGGCCCAGGCACCTCACCCCTTGTAATTACAGGAATTTCTGGGGGACCCTTTCTCGGGGAGAGGAGGTCCCTGTTCCTTGACCACAGCCAGCCTGGGCAGCCCCCGGGTGCCCCTGCTGTGCCTGCCACCTGCCTGCCTTGCAGACGGTGGGAAGGGCGGTGCTGGGGGCCGTTCGGAGAATGAGTGCTTTTCCAGGGGCTTCCCGCCAGGAAGCAACCCAACTGCCCAGTGACACTCTCACCATTCCCCTGGCCATCTGCAGGGGTCCCTCTGACCCTTCCATGACCCTGGCCCCGAGTTTCTCCTTCAGTCCCCCTTACATACAAGGCTCAGTCCAGTTCTGGCAGGAGACACCTCACCCCCTCACGTCCATGGAGATGGCACCACATCCAGCCTCCACCTGGGCTTGGGGAGCCACACACCTTACACAGCCCCCCAGCACCCCAAGCTACCCCTGCTCTGGGGAGGATAACCCTCCCGTGTCTACCAGCGGGGTCCTGTCTCCCATGCCCAGGGCC